CGCGCTCCCGATGGATAACTACGCACCCACTGCATCGTGGAATAATCGCACCCACCAAGGCGGCGTTTCTTCTGAGATATGCTCTGGCACGGAGTTCGGGGGACCTCTGAATGCTGTCTGACGCGGGCGCACGTGCAACTGGATGGCCTGCCCAGCACACACGCCGGAAAAACTTGAAGAGTTTCCGTCTTTCAGCTCGCGCCTGGAATGAAAGAGCCGCTGGTCTGCAACCGGGAAGCCATGTGTTTTTTTCATTCGGCGTTTCGACATTGGACGGAAGGGGGGGGAGGGGGGGGTCTGGCTCCAGACCTCTGCTTAGTGCGGCTGTTTGCAAAAGTGCGGCCTCTGGGGGAGGCTCCGCCCGCTCGAAACAGGCGCCAAAAACAGCCAGGATCTACTCCAGGGGAGGAGGGAAGGGGGGGGGTTCGAGGGCCCACGCCGATCGGCAAAACAATAAAACAAAAACATGATCGACCCACGAACCCCGAAAGGAATATAGACATGTAAGGCATGGCAACGTTTCAAAGATACCTGATTGAGCGACGGGCAAATGCAATACTGGATGTATCGATCTTGATGTACTGTGCCGAGGGCTGTGCTGCGCTACGCCGTGCTGAACTGCGATGTGTCATGCCGTGATTGTGCTCTATATATATATATATATATATATATAGCGTTGTGGATCGAGTCCTCCCTGGCATCCGAGTCCTGACCGAACTGATTTGGATCTTAAGCTCGAGCTGCCTGAGCAGATGGTAGCTGCCCCAAAACTAATCGACAAAGGAGACATGCCAGGAGGACGCGCCACGGAACGTCCCAAGAGACGCGCCAGGCGACGTGCCAGGGGACGCGCCATGGGGACGCACCGCGGGAAGTGCCATGGGGACGCGCTACGGAACGTGCCAATGGACGTGCCGCGGGACGTGCATAGCGTTGTGGATCGAGTCCTCCCTGGCATCCGAGTCCTGACCGAACTGATCTGGATCTTAAGCTCGAGCTGCCTGAGCAGATGTTAGCTGCCCCAGAACTAATCGACAGAGGGACATGCCAGGAGGACGCGCCGCGGAACGTCCCAAGGGACGCTCCAGGCGACGTGCCAGGGGACGTGCCATGGGCACGCACCTCGGGACGTGCCAAGGGGACGCGCTACGGAACGTGCCAGTGGACGTGCACCGCGCGACGTGCCAGGGGGACTCGCCACGGGACGCTGCGCAGAACGTGCCAAGCAACATGCTAGGCTGCAATGCTAAAGGTATCGATATTGATGTACCGTGCCGAGGGCTGTGCTGTGCCTGGGCGACCTGGACGCGTGAAAACACGCGTTTTGCTCAAGACGTTTTCAGCACATCCTCATGCTAGACATCCGCCTGGGCAACCTGGACACGTGCAAACAAGCGTCTCGATCGAGACTTCCTCGACACATCCTCATGCTAGACATCCGCCTGGGCGACCTGGACACGTGAAAACAAGCCTCTGTTTCGAGACATCCTCAACAAATCCTCATGCTAGACATCTGTCTGGGCAACCTGGAGGCGTGAAACCAAGCGTCTCGCTCGAGACATCCTCAAGACCTGGGCACGTGAAAGCAAGCATTTCACTTGAGAGATCCTCTGAATTCATAACACAAAACAAGCGTTTCGCTCCAGACATCCTCCACAAATTATGAAAAACAAGCGTTTCGCTCGAGACATCCTCAAATTTTAATTCGCCGGCCCACCTCGACCTGGATATTCACCGCAAGAGAAATTCGCAGGCCCACCTAAAGTCAAAACCGGGGGTAAACCAGAACCCTGGGCCTACGCCCTTTCCCAGAAAAAAGATCACCTCCCGAGATGGAGGACAGATTGTGTTTGGAGGCGGCAGGGGGTTCTGAACTGGCTGGGACCCCAGAAAATCGGTCAGGAGGAGAGGGGGGGGGGCAAGTCCGCTCAAAATTGGTCCCCGAACTCATCCCGGGGTCCATCTGGTGCAGTTTCTCACCCCAGACCAGTTTCTCACTGTCTTCCTGCTGGCCAGGACCAGTGCTGGGCCACCTCAGACCCCCGGACAGCTCCAAGCTGGTGTGCCTGTATTGGTGGTGGTAGGGTTAGGTCGGGCATGTCCTCCTACAGGCGAAGCTTCGAAGACAAAATCCAAATAGCCCAAAAATATCCAAAAATAATCAAGAATGGTCGAAACATGATGGACCCACGAACCCGGAAAGGGATATAGAACCGCATGCATGGAAACGTTTTCACGACACCGTATTGGGCGACGGGCACTTGCAATGCTGAAGGTGTCGATGGCGATGTGCTGTGCCAGAGGCTGTGCTGTGCCGTGCTGTGCTGACTTGGAATTTGCCATGCTGCACAGAAGACAAATCTGGAGGCACATACGTAAAAACACACGGATTCGCGCCCCTGGAGAAATCAAATCTATACGCACATACGTAAAAGCACATGGATTCGTGCACCTGGAGAGGGCAAATCTACAGGCGCATACGTAAAAACACACGGGCTCGTGCACCTGGAGAAGGCAAATCTCTGGGGCGCCCAGATCCCTCAAGTTCTACAAAACAAGCGATTCGCTCCAGAGATCCTCGGTAACTCTGCGAAGCAAGCGTTTCGCTCGAGACATCCTCAACACACGAAAGAGTGGCCCGCACCCTGTGATCTATCGATCGGGATTTCAAAAACAAGCGTTTCGCCTGAGACATCCTCAAATGTTAATCCGCCAGCCCCCACCTCGACCTCGAAATTCATCAAGGAAAGAATCCGCCGGCCCACCTCAATTGAGGCATCGGGGACAGGTTTACCAACTAAAAGAGAACCCTGGGCCGGCGCCCTTTCCAGGAAAAATCGGCCCCAGACTATTTTTCGATTATTTTTGAAGACTCCTCCTGTAGAGGGCCGCGCCCGACTTAACAGTAGGCCTGCGATGCCCACCTGTGGTTGGTGAAGGCCCTGTGGTGCCCTCTGGCCTGAAGGCCCCAAGGCGGGCGAGAAGAGCGCCCAGCGAAAGAGGACTGCAGCCCTAGGTCGGGCATGCCCCCCTACAGGGAGATTTTGGACGAAAAATTGTAATTAGTCCGAAAATATCTTCAATTATACTGGAGAGACAACCCAATCATAATATTTCATCTGTTTAAGGCTATAAGGCTAGGGGCTATGGGGCTATAGGACTGTAGGACTATAAGGCTCTGGGGCTATAAGGCTATAGGGTCATAGGCCTATAGGGCTATAGGGCTGTAGGGCTATAGGGCTACAGGGCTACAGGGCTATAGGGCTACAGGTCTATAGAGGGCTATAGGGCTATCGAGAAATAGGGCTAGAAGGCTACAAGGCTGTAAGGCTATAGGGCTATAGAGTTATAGGGCTGTAGGCCTATAGGGCTCTTAGGGCTATAGAGCTATGGGGTTGTAGGACATAGGGTAATAGGGCTATAGGGATATAAAGGTTATAGGGTTATAGGGCTATAGAGCTATAGGGCACCCGGGCACTCGGGCACCCAGGCACCCGGGCGTGCCACCGAAATCGGCGCCAAACCTCACCCAACCTTATGAATCCGCCAGGACCCCTACGGAGACAAGCTCGGACTGGGGACTAATAATCGAAAACTACTCGAAGAATCGTTCCCAGACTATTTTCTGAGTATTTTTAAACATTCCTTCTGTAGGGGGACAGGCCCGACTTAACTGCAGCGCCGGGGGATCTCCGGACCCCCGCGTTCGCGGGGAAACCGATGGGCACCGACACCGGCACAGTCAACCCGTATAGCAAGGATGCGCGATGAGGACGCACGGGCCTTGGAAGGCCACGTCGAAGCTTTTCGAGCGGGACGCGGCCAAGGATAGGCCGAGGAGGCGAGGATGCAAAGGAACCCTTGGGAATGTTGGCCATCTTTACTATGCGGGTTGACTGTATTCCCCCCGGCCATCTTCCAGGGCACTTTCTGCCCAAGACTTCGACGCGAATTCACCCGTGGCGACCAGGGCCTCTGAGGAGGCCCGAACGGGCCGAACGGGGCAAAACCAAGGAATGGCACCGGCACTGTAGGAGCTCGACCACAAGAAACCTTCCACAAGAAGCCCAACCCTGATACCGCTCGACGCCCAGCGCTGCTTGGTGTGGGAGCGCTACGCGCTCCACAGCAGAACCACCAAAACCCAAGAAACCTACGGCACCCTGGAGGCAAGCACGGTGTTTCTTGGCATGGGTTTCCCCTGTATGCCCAGACATGCGACGTCTTGCTTTTGTGCAATACGGGTTCCCTGAAGTCCCGACCCCTCCCCGGGACCGGTTTTTGATCCTGGGTCGTTTTTTTGACGGCCCCGCGGCCCAGCAAGGGCCCCCCGAGGCCGAAAGTTGCCACAAACCTCCCGCCCTGGTTTTTTTCACGACGCGATCATGTCTAGGAGACTATCGAGAATGGCATATGGGAAGAGGCCCCCCGAGGCCGCAAATAGCCCAAAAAAACTCCCGCCCTGACTTTTCTTTACGACGCGATCCTGTCTGGAATACGCGAGCCTCGCCTTGCCTCTGGAGGAAAAGGAGGAGAAGAGGTAGAGGAGACGGAGGAGGAAGAGGAAGGAGGAGGAGGATTGAGGAGGAGGAGCAGGAGAAGTCTTTTGCCTGGATACTCATAATCCCTGAAAGATGTTCCGATAAGATCTCATGGTCAGTGGGCTCCGCTGATGACATGGGGAAGACGGGATAGTGCCGTCAAACATACACTTAAGGTAACACTGAAGGGAGGAGGCCAGCCCGCCGACCGACGCACGCGCGCGCGCCGCAGGCTCGCTCCTTTTCCGCTTCCCTAGAGCCAAAGTAGTATAGCTGCGGAAGCAGAAGTAGTCAGTCAGCACAGTAGGCAGGCAGCGCGCGCAAGGAGAGAGAGCAGGCAGGGCGAAAGATTGGCGGTGCGGAAGGGGTGCATTGACTCCCCCCGCGGCGGGGTCCGTAGAGCTGCCCCGGCCCCCCAACCCACCTGGCCTGTGCATATGCACAGCCACCAGAGCGAAC